CAGTCTAAGGCTATAGCAGCAGAACTATAGAGATAGAATGAAGCAGAATGATGAAAAAGGGGTCCCTATGTCCTCCAGCAGTCTAAGGCTATAGCAGCAGAACTATAGAGATAGAATGAAGCAGAATGATGAAAAAGGGGTCCCTATGTCCTCCAGCAGTCTAAGCCTATAGCAGCAGAACTATAGAGATAGAATGAAGCAGAATGATGAAAAGTCAAATCAAATAACAGCCATTTTGGTTAAACAGTTACATGTTATGAATAAACCTTGAGAAATAATCTGTCTTGTCTATAAACCCCCTCATCCAGGCATTTTGTGGCCTTGCAGGGGAAACGGATCTTTTATAATGAGTACATAGCAGAAATCAATATATGAAATAAGACAAATCCTTTTAAGATCCTTTAAGCTAATATGTCTTTGTCACTGAAATGGCAGATGATGAGAGGACCTTTGAACCCAGAGCTCTGAAAGGGTCTGTGATTTTTCTCCAGTGTGCCGTCAGAGCAGCAACACAAGGCCGGGTTCTGGTCCTGGAGGGGCTGGAGAAAGCGGAGAGAAACGTCCTCCCCGTCCTCAACAACCTGCTGGAGAACAGAGAGATGCAGCTGGAGGATGGCCGCTTCCTGATGTCAGCGGAGCGCTACGACAAGCTGCTGCAGGTCAGAACAGCACGCACCTCAGACACCAATCAGAGCCCTCTGAATGTGGAAAGAAGGGTGGCGGTTCCCCCCGTTAACTGCAGCGCTGCCAGGCTGCTTTTTATAGATTCTTGTTTCACACTTAAACTGTGAACTTTCACGCTTCTCCCACGGAGCTCTGGCTTTTTATTTTACTGCCTTTAATAAATCTCTAGTCTGGAGGTTTCTTTGGTTACATAACGTCCCACAGAGGAGGAGAAACGCTCCTTTCTGTGTCCGTCCCTTTCAGGAGCATACCAAGGAGGAGCTGGACAGCTGGAAGATCGTCCGGGTGAGCGAGGACTTCCGGGTCATCGCTCTGGGTCTGCCGGTTCCTAAATATAAGGGCAACCCCCTGGATCCTCCTCTCCGCTCGCGCTTCCAGGCCAGAGACGTCTATTACCTGCCCTTCAAGGTCAGAGCAGAAACACACACGCCAGTGAGCTTCTGAGGAGAAGCAGGCCCACAGCACCATGCTGCCACCGCCGTGGTTCAGAGTAGTGTGGAGGGAGGGAGGCAGGGAGGGTTTCTACCACAGGTAGACCAGCCAGTTAAAAATGGAGGAATCCTTTAGCAACGATATGAAAACATTGATGGCCTCCTCCCTCCTTCCTTCCTCCTTACTCCCTCCTTCCTTCCTCCT